GGATATATGCATCCGAAGAAGTGGGTTGTAGCCCACGAAAGCTTATGCTCTAATAAATTTGTTAGTCTCTAAGGTGCCACAAGTACTCCTGTTATTTTTGCATGCTACAAATGTTTTTATTAAAAACAAGTAATTAGAAATAAATAATAGTACATTTATAGTAATAAATAAGCAATCTTTGCACATACTAATAATGAATTTTCTATTATAAAACTGATGTGCATTCCACCATATTTTTTCTTTTTGTGCGTGCATCTGATATAAAAAGATAAAGTTGCTAATTGAATTTGATATTAATTTGTAGTTTTTATGCGTGCTCAAACTAGCTACACAGAGGATTTTCGCCTGTGTCCTTTTGAATTAATAATTATATTGGGAACATAGTCTTCTGTTCTCTTTATTAATTTTGGATACAATAAAGGAACCTAAATATTGCACACACAAAAAAGTATTATGATAAATAGAAAGATTAACACATTAAGTCATTTTTCCTGGTTGGTCATGGGAACAGCTGTTTAATATGAAAAAGATAAGGATGCTTATGCCATAGAAAGTTTGATAATACTAGTTAGTTAAAATTAAAAGTACATTTTTTATCAACCAAGACCATATTTTTGCTAGCAGCGTGAAAATGCTTTGAATGGTTTCTCAAATACTAGGGAAGCAGAACTCCTCAATGCTATTCTCCTTTCTGTTTTCCAATTCATATTGGTCAAGCTGGTGATACTCAAATGACACACGATTAATATGCTTGCCACTGGACACCATTCGTAGTACAGTATTGTCACAGCCAATCTTCATTTGAGCTAATCAATGAAAAGATAGGGTTTTACATTATGTTAGGAATTACATACTAAATACAAATGCCTCACTTTTATAGTATAACATGCCTAAATATATAGTTGAAAGTATCCATTCTTATATAGTAACTTTCTCACTATGATGAACCAGCTGACTGTAGAATGATGACACTACTGAATGAATACAAGTTAAATATTAACAAAATTAAAAAATACAAGTTTGTATTTTTATATTAATTTTTAAATGGTTTGACCATTTCACCAAATGTTCTATTTACTAATACTAATTCCATACGTTATTTCCACCTGTTCCCTTTCTATGTCTATACCCTGAAATGTATATGAATGTTAAATGCCATTGATAATAATATTTAAAGGAAACCATTCCCGACCATGGAGGTGTCATTAATAAACCATTTATGAAATATTTCCTATTGAAAGAATGACAGTTTTTAGGTGGCAACACCAAGAAGATTCCTCCTAATGTAAAAAGTGTGTTTAAATTCTAGTACAGCATGCCCAAATGGGGAACACTCACATTAATCAGGTTTTCTTAAGACAACACTCCATAGGAGAATTCAGGATGAGAGTACAATGTGCACTGTAACACAATTAATGGGGGAGTATCAAAACAGATGTCTACTTTAATCCTGCCTCTTTTCATTACAACAAAGTAAAAGGGCAGGGGCACGCATTGGGGGAAGATTAATTTATCTTTAATAAGAGGAATTATGGATCAATCAGCCTAAATTCAATACCTAGAAAGAAGCTGGAACAAATTATTAATCAATTTGTAAACACCTAAAGAATAATAGGGTTATAAGGAATAGCCCAAGAACAAATCATGTCAAACTAACCTAATTTCCTTCTTTGACAGAGTTATTGGCCTAGTGGATAGGAAGAAAGCAATAGACGTGATATATCTTGATTTTAGTAAGGGTTTTGACACAGTCCCATATGACATTCTCATAAGCAAACTAGGGAAATGTGGTCTAGATGAAATTACTATAAAATGGGTACACAATTGGTTGAAAAATCATACTCAAAGTGTAGTTATCAAAGATTTGCTATCAAACTGTGAGAAGGTGTCCAATTGTGTCCTGCAGAAGTCAGTCCTGGGTCTGGTACTATTCAATATTTTCATTAATGATTTGGATAACTGAGTGGAAAGTATGCTTATAAAATTTCTGAACGACAGCAAGCTGTGTGGGGTTGCAAGCACTTTGGAGGACAAGATTGGAATTCAAAATGACTTGGTAACTTGGAGAATTGGTCTGAAATCAACAAGATGAAATTCAATAAAGACTAATGCAAAGCATGGCACTTGAGAAGGAAAAGTCAAATGCACAAATACTACTGGGAAATAACTGGCTAGGCAGTAGTACTGTAGAAAAAGAACTGGAGATTATAGTGAATCACAAATTGAATATGAGTCAACAATGAGATGCCATTGTGAAAAAGACTGATGTATTAACAGGAGTATCATTTTTTTTTTTTAAATAATGGAGATATCCCATCTCCTAGAACTGGAAGGGACCTTGAAAGGTCATTGAGTCCAGCCCCCTGCCTTCACTAGCAGGACCAAGTACTGATTTTGCCCCAGATCCTCAAGTGGCCCCCTCAAGGGCTGAACTCACAACCCTGGGTTTAGCAGGCCAATGCTCAAACCACTGAGCTATCCCTCTGCCCCTTCTGTAAGACACAGAAGGTAACTGTCCCACTATACTCAGCACTGGTGAGGCCTCATCTGGAATATTGTGCCTGGTTTTAGGTGTCATACTTTAAAAAAGATTTTGGCAAATTGCAGAGTCCAGAGGAGAGCAATAAAAATAATAAAAGGTTTAGAAAACCTGACCTGTAGAGGAAAGGTTAAAAAAAAGGCCATGTTTAGTCTTGTGAAAAGGAGACTGAAAGGGGACCTGATAACAGTCTTCAAATATGTTAATGGCTGTTATAAAGAGGATGGTGATCAATTGTTCTCCATGTCCACTGAAGGTAGGACAAGACGTAATCAGCTTAATCTGCAGCAAGAGAGATTTGGGTTAGATATTAGGAAAAACTTTCGAACTAGAAGGGTAGCTATGCTCTGGAATAGGTTACCAAGGGAGGTTGTGAAATCCCCAGCACTGGAGGTTTTTAAGAACAGGTTAGACAAACACCTGACAAGGATGGTCTAGGTTTATTTAGTCCTGCCTCAGTGTGGGGTGGATGGACTATACAACCTCTTGAGGTTACTTCCAGCCCTACATTTCTATGGATAGCTGATTATTTACATGGTTATTCCACCCCATTGGTTAAGAGGCATCAAGAGATCTGTGTTTCCATGTTGCATTACCAATGAGTAATGATACGATTCTGTCATGGACATCACGGATTCCATGACTTTCTGGGACCTCCGTGACTTCTTCTGGGGCAGGGCTGCCGGAGCAGAGGCTGGGGTTGGGTCAGCCCCTACCACAGGAGCAGTGGCAGGTCTGGAGCAGCTGCAAGCCTCGGCAGTGCTCTGTCATCCCCCTCCCCCAGGTATTTTTAGTAAAAGTCAGGGACAGGTCGTGGGCTTCTGTGAATCTTTGTTTACTGCCCATGACCTGTTCCTGACTTTTACTAAAAATACCTATGTCAGAATCTGAAACTTACCAATGAGGGAATGTGACATTTTCCTTACTATTAACCTTCCCTCATATCAAAAGGCAGTGCAGACATATCCCTCGTGACTTCCTCAATGCGTCACCTTTGAAATATACACCCTTGTGCTATCCCTTTTTCAGAGCCCAAACGTGTCCCTTTTAGGATGAACCTGAGCTCTAAGATGTGACGATTGTTCCTAAAGCTTCATAGCAGCACATTATGCTGAAACTAATCCATCCTGATTCAAGTCAGTTCCATAGGATTTATGTTGTTGCTCATCTCTTTCCCCATTCTCTCACCTGTCCTCATTTCTTCCATTGTCACACCTTTTCTACACTTGCTCCCACTCTTTCTCCATTTCCTTTTCCCCTGTGTCCTATTGTACCTTCTGCCTCTCTCTTTTTTCTTCCTCTGCTTCTCTCCCCTTCACTTTTTTCCCAGTCCCTAGTCTTCATCCTGTTAAGTCCTCTGTGCACTCAGAGTCCCCACTGAAGTCAGTGGAACTTCTCAGTATGGCGGTCCCACAGTACTGAGCTCTGTCTTTCTCATTGCTTCTCCAATTATTCTGCTGTATCTCTCCATATACCTGTGTTTTCCAAATATGCATTAGGGGTGGCATCAGGCCCCAAACCTTGTCAGAGCTGATTGAGCCTGTTATTAAACCCTGCTTTGTGATGAGCTGCCCGAGGAGGAGTTTGGCATTAACCTTTGTAGACCATTTCAAGAACTCAAAGTGGCCTTTTGTATTTGGAGGGAGCCTGAACCCACTGGCCTCCCAACCCTTCAGATTCATCCTGACAATATAGTATTGTATGATTTCCCTTTCTCTCATTAACTGGAGCACTATTTCACACTATTCAAAAGCTGCCTTGGAAACAATATTACCTCATAGGAGCACTCAGCGTAGGCTCAGTAACATTTTTTGTTTTTTTTTTTTTTGGTCTGAGACTTTAATTCTGTTTGCTATGGTATAGAGCAGTTTTTCTCAAATGGTGGGTTGTGACCTCAAAGATGGATCATGAAAGGCAATTGGGGGTAGGAGGAGATGTCACGAGCTGCTGAATTACATTCTAAAGCAAAGAAAATCTCACTGCCCCGTACACCCTTACTCGTCATGATCAAGAGTTTTCTGTCAACCTCTCGAATCACATATCCACAAAAGTACATTATATAGGCTTATTATTATCCCACATACATTTTTACTCTTTCTTTTATAGTAAATATAAGGAGACTGCAAAAACTTTTTACTTTGAATAACAGGTCATCAGCCTGAAAAGCTTGAGTTATGCTGATTTAGAGCTTCTCTAACGTCCCACATGTTAGAGGAAATTATGTAAGCAGTACATTTTTTCCTTTCCAAAGGAAGAGAAGGCTCTTGGAACTAGAGCTGGGTGAAATTTTTAGGACAAAACTTTTTCATCAAAAAATGTAGATTCAGGTCGACCGAAACATTTAGCTAGTTTATACTGAATTTACCGAACAAAATCTGAAAAAATCAAAATGTTTTGTTTTGATGTTTTTAATGTAACATTTTAAGTATTCAATTTCAAAATGACTTTTTGTTTTGTATTTTAAATGAAAAGTATAAAAAAGGTTAAAAAAGGTATTTAAAAACACCCTCAAATATTAAACATTTCATTTTGGGTTGGACAAAACATTTTGTTTGACCTGAAATGTATATTTTTTAAACTACTTTGGTTTTCCAAAATATTTTAAACATTTTGCTTTTGAGTCACCTTGAAATTATAATATATATTTGATTTTTCGGTTCAGTCACCAGACCAAAAAATTGCTTAATCACATCGCACTACTTGGGACTTTGAGTAACATACGAAGTACTCCCCCTCCACTCAGAACTTGCCTGCCCTGTTTTGACCTTATCATGGTTGCTAGGAACATCCTTGTGTTGCAGTCCTTATTGACTATCTGTAATAAGATGAGTTGTTGTTTTTAAATTGAAGCTTAACCCTGCTGTGATTTCTAGTCTGTCCTTAGGTTCTCCATCTGAGGGCTGTGATACAGGAAACCTAAACACACTGGCTGCACTCTTAACAGCTTTGATTCTCAGGTTCTGCTCCATATGAAATACCCAAGCCTACCAGGAAATCAGATTTCTGCTGTACTCTATTGCTAATTAATTATTTCCTCATGCACAAATTTAAACAAAAGAAGATCTCACCAGAACCATGAAAAGATTGGCACAGATCAGCTAGAGGGAACATCTTGGAGGGGTCTAATCCAGTTCCACCCAACAGCTCCACAAAATCTCCCACTCCTGCACAGCCTGTTGATGGTTTCTATAAAGACAGAGACAGAAGATACATTTTGAATATACTTAATAAATTAAACAGTCATTTAGATATCACTGAAGTCAATGGGAGTTGTGGGCACTCCTGTAAAAATCAGGTCACTTTTGGCCTGTTTAATGATCTAATTTGAAGTTAGCAAATTTAATTTCCTTAAGAGACCATACAAGTAACCTGTAGATGGATTTTGCCAATAGGAGTACCCAATTACGGTTTTGGATCACATTGGTTCTAGCAAACAAAATCATCCTATCAAAAGCAGTAAGATACTATAGCTGTGGCGCTGAAATATATTACCTTTGCAAAGTTTAGTCAATTAATTTTTGCTGCTAATATAATCCTAACTATAAATTCCACATAGACACACAGAGCTGTGCAAATAACTGACTTTTTGGTTCACTGGCAATTATGAAAAATAAAAAAATTAAAAATGTTTCAAGTAGACCCTGAAAACAATTTTTTGTTTTCAAACTGAAAAGTCAAAAAAATTGTTTGGGTTCAAATGAAATGTTCAAAAAAATGTTTCATTTCAATGTTGAGAGAGAGTGCGCGCCCCACTCTGTTTCAGCATCCCATTACATTTCTAGGTAGTTGTCAGCGTGACAACTAACCAGGCTATGTTGTTCACTAAGTTCACTTACAATGTAAGTACACTTACACTCAGGAGAGCACAACATTCCCCCTCCATTTTTCCCAAGTAGGGAGCATTGTGAAAGGAAGAGAAACCCCATTTTAGCAGACCTAAAATCCACTGGGGCAGGGTGAAAGAGGATTTTGGAGCCAACACAAGAGTCCTCTCCCTGCAATCCTGGGGAAGCCCCTCAGTACATTTTGGCTTCCATGGACTGAGGGAGCTGGGGAGAATCTCTTTCTGCAGCTTCATTGTCTTGGAAAACTGCGAAGATTTTCTTCTGTGATTTAATGCTGACTGCCAGCGTTACCTTATACCGACTCCCATTCTACTACTTCAACCCATGGTAAGAGCTGTGCTCAGTTAGTTGCCACTATTACTTTTCCTGTTACAATCCCACGTCTGCTGTTAATGATTAAGTCACACTCATTTTGCACACTACGCTATGCCAAATTGGTGCAAATTACATTTCTAGGCAACTTCTGCCACCATTTATGTGATTGCAGGCCCAGAGACTTCAGTGAGACAAATGGGACTCCTGGTGGGACAAAAGAGGTGTGCATCTGTTGGCAGGATCGGATCCACAGGCATTTTCAGCTAGTTTATAATGGGCAAACTCTGTTTTTTCACTTAGGAGACCTACATTTATTGCGGGTTTTTTGCCCTGTCAATAACCTAAGAACTGTATTTGGGGGAACACTCTCTCTCCTTGGTCAGAGACAACCATGTAAATCCATGCAAGGAGGGACAGTAAGGCAAGGTGATACATGGGTACTGGTTTGAGCTGGATCCTCAGAGATTTAAGATATGCAGTTTATCTACTGAGTCACCCAGGCTCCCATAAATGTTCTCTTTTTTAAATTAAACTATCTCTGTGCCACAAACAAAACAGCAATGGTATAATCAATATATGATGAGTTTTGATGAAACAGCAATGGTATAATCAATATATGATGAGAATTTATGAAGTGGTTAAAAATTATACTTCAGACTCCACAGACTGAACATTGCTGTTATCTGCATGAAATTCAATACCTTAGCTTTAATCATTTGCTGTTCTTTCCCATACATTGTTTACAGCCAAATCTTGGCCCTATGGTGCTTGACATCATGAAGCTGGACAGAACCCAGGCCCCTTGCCTCAGGCTGACTCCATAGGTATGGAACACTATTGAAAACCTGTGGGCAAAGGAGCCCCTCAATGGCCATCACATAGCATCTATGTGTCTGACAAAACCCAGCCCAGGTGGCTGTCAGACCCCATCTCCATATGTCTTAAGAGTATGTCTAGCTGCAATTAGTCACCCATGGCTGGCCTGTGCCAGCTGGCTCAGGCTCACGGGGCTCAGGCTAAAGGGCTGTTTAATTGCAGTGTAGACACTTGGGCTCAGGCAGGAGCCCAGGCTCTAAGACCCTGCAAAGTGGGAGGGTCCCACAGCCCAAGCCCAAATATCTACACAACAATTAAACAGCCCTGCAGCCTGAGCCCGAGTCAGCTGGCACAGGCCAGCCACAGGTGTCTAATTGCAGTGGAGACATATCCTGAGGCTATGACATCACCCTTACAAGCCCATTACTGTGGCACTAGGGAGCTCCAGAGAAGCAAAGAGTCCCTCCAATTTCATGGAGAGGCAAGCAGGTTCCTCCACAGCTCTGTGATGGAAGAGCATAAAGAGGTTGCACAACTTGAAGATTATCAGCTGGTAGTTCTGCAAGGGAGCCAAGACAGGAGACGCACCTCCTGGGACAAAGAAATCTGCCCCACTCCTCCCCCCAATCTGCATGTTATGGGAGGAAAAGGTTCTTTGCAGCTGTGGGTGTTCCTCCTGTTCTTGGAACCCTTTAGAACTAACAGCTGTTCATCGTTAGATTGTGTGTGTGTAATCCTCTTAAGCTCCTCCATGGCTGAGCTGTGGAAGAACCTGCTTGCCTCTCCATGGATTTGGAGGGTCTCTTTGCTTGCTCTGGGCCTCCGTCCTGCTGTGTTAATGGGCTTAAATTATAAATGGGTCTTCTTGGGATGACCTGTTGTGGTCCAAATGGGTTCTATGATCTTCAGAGGAAGCCAGTCAGCAGAGTTTCCCCGGCTCAACTCAAGGTACTAATTTTATACCATTTCCATAGATTTCAAACCACCCCAGGTCCAATTCTGCAAGTTAACAAGTTCCCCTCCCCTCCTACTGAAATAAGAAGGGGCAGTGGGTTCTCAGCACCTCATGGGACTGGGTCCATTGTAAACAGATTCCTGCTTTTAATGTCTGTCATTCTAAACACACCCATAACCACACAATATGTGTTACCCTTTTGCCTGTTTAGGACCATCACTACTTGTGTCAATGTAGACTGCATGCTCTTTTGAGCAGAAGCCCTTGGTTTCTTATGAGATGCCTAGCACATATAAGGGCACTCAACGTATTAATAATAGTAAATATACAAATGATACTCTGTATAACCTCTTCCCGCTGAAGACAGTAACTTACTATGACACAAACAAACAACTCACCTTGAAATGGAGGCTATTTAAATGTCCCAGTATAAGGTCAGATATTTTTATCACCACTGGATAGATTATGGAAAAACTGCAGTTTCTGTGCTGATGAGGAATTACCATGGTAAACGTTCCAGTAGGGGTCTGAGAGATGACATTGCAAGCTTTAGCACAGGAAAAAGATACAGCATAATTATTTGGACAGTAGTCACAATCTGCATACAGCAAAGATGTAGACATCCAACTGTGTTCTAGACACTTTTGATGTAATTGCAGCTCACAGGCCAAACTCACAGGGCCAGATTCTGCCCCCTAGGACCTCTGCTGACTTCAGCAGAGTTATTCTGATTTACAGCTGGTGTAATCATGAACAGAATCTGGCCTGCATGCTGTGTCATTACACTCCCAACATAGGCCAGTCTGCCCTCTTCACTGTGTCCCATTTTCTCAAATAATGGATGCTATCAAAGAACAATTCATTTTATTATAAATAGAATGCTGAAAAGAGAATCCCTCAGCATTTCCTTTGGCTAGTACATGGCATTGTTCTCTAGCAATTGCCAGCATATCACTCAGAACGTAATATCACATGCCAAAGAACTTGAAAAAACTCCTTTTAGTTGAGTATTTTAGACTACATCTACACTGTAGCTGGGGGTGTAATTAGAAGGTTTTGTAGATTATCTATGCTACCTTTAATCTAGCTAGTCTGCTAAAAATAGCAGTGAAGATGTGAAGGCTTGTGGTTTAGGGCTTGTCTACACTTACAGTGCTGTAGTGCATAGTGAAGACACTACCTATGTCGACAGAAGAGCTTCTCCCATTGGCGTAGGTACTCCGTCTCCCGGAGAGGTTGTAGCTATGTCTATGAGAGACACCCTCCTGTCAATATAGACCTGCCCACATCAGGAGTTAGATCAGTATAACTATGTCGCTCAGGCGTGTGGATTTTCCACACCCCTGCGTGATGTAATTATACCAACATAAGTTTGTAGCATAGACCAGGGCTTGTGGGATATACAAGCCTGCCTGCCCTCCCCAGGTACATCCTTGCATTGCTAGCCCTCATTGAAGCCTGCACCACCACATCCTCACTGCTATTTTTAGCAAACTGGCTAGATTAAAGGTAGTGCGGGTACATGTACACAAGCTGCAAATCATTCACCTGACTGCAGTGTAGATGTAGCCTTAGACCTGATCCTGCAACTGACTCTGCCTGGGTTGACTCTTGTATCTTCATGGAGTCCAATTGACTTCAGTGGGGCTCTGCATAGGAGCAGGGGTTTCTTAGGGATTAAGACCTAGCTCTTTGGTCAGTACTGAATAATAAGCTAAATATTACAAGAAGTCCCCTAGCTATTATCTTACATTATATAACTACTAAAACATTCATTGATAGCCATGTTCTGCCCCAACTTACTCACACTGAAATGGATCCCATTGAAACCAGAGAGGATGAATATTGGTTTTATTTTAAAATCTTCATTAAATTGATAGATTCAGCGACAGCTTACCTTGTGGCTCAGTGGCGCAGAGCAGCAATTGTTTTTGGCACATTTGCTCCTGCCATATTTAAGATCCTATATTTTCATTCCAAGGAATCTTTCACCTTTAAAGAGGATTTATTCTAATGTATGGCTCAGACATTGCCCCTAGATCCACACAGAACCCGCTGTGTGCAGCTCACCTCCCACCCTGCTCAATCCTGCAGGGGACCCACGCTGTGGTTCAGGGTCCACCCTGCGGAGCAGGAGACGGGATGGGCTGAAGAGAGAAGTGAGTGGAACCGGGGAATACAGGTCTCCCCCTATCCTGGCCCTGGGTGTTGTATTGTCATTTCCTCAGAGCAGTCACAGGCAGGGGCAGGCTCCGGAGGAGCCATGCTGCAGAGAAGCGGCACCAGCCCCCACAGCCTTTCATATGGGGAGGGAAGAGATTAAACCCTCTTTCCATGGGGGATCCTCACAGAGAATTCTTTCCTCTGAGTTTCCTCCCATGCACAGGATGGTTTGGGCCTATAATAAAAAGTAGGGCATATTCAGTGTGGGTAAGGGTGGCCGAATTGCACTCTAAGTTAGTATGTTTATCAAATGACTAGTAACTGGACTGGGTCGAATAGTACTTGTCAAATAAATTGTTTGCTGAATTTTGTGCTGTGTTTTGAGTAAATATTTTTCATTTGGTCAGTTTATAGACCTGTGCAAATCATTTGAAAACACAGCCATCGAATAATTTGGCAAAATTCACCACATATTTCAAATAACATATTTGAATATTTTTTCTCATTGCCTACCCAGCTCTAGTTATTTGCCAAATTTATGATCCTTAAAGTAATACCAATTACTCTTATTGGATATATTAACATTATAGATTGAACAAATCTTCTTTGAAATAAAAATTCCTTGGCTCTTACATATAGCAAGCATTCTTAAAAAATCTCTCATATTTCACTGGCTTTCTCTCTCAATGTGAGACACAAGCTTAGCCTACATTGGTAATTTCTGAACCAGGTCCTCAGCTGGTATAAATTGTCATAGCTCCATTGAGCGACGTCACTTTACAGCAGCTAGGAATCTGGTCCTCTATGTCTATCGATTTACTGAAGACTTCAAAACGATTTCAGAGAGAGTGGTTTTAAGTTTATCAGCTTCTTTTCAACTGTACTGGTTCATAATAATTGGTTCTTTTTGGTTCCTAATCCAAATGTAGTCCATCTGACAATCCAAGTGGCAATATGAAAATCAGACTTACGGAAGAGGTTGGCATTTTTCTTTATTGTAAATGTAAATCCATTTCCAGGTTCATGAATCCTGAAGAAGATCATTGCCACATTCTGGGATGACCTGATGCTCCTTCGGATGTTGCCGCTTTCACAAAAATCTATATATCTTTCCGAAGTAGGGAGAGGATGGTCCAAAGAACTAGGAAACTTCTCACCTTTGAGTATCCAGCCATCAAACACCTACAGGGGTTCAGTGATTCAAAGAACAGCTCAGGTTTGTTACCATTTTGTCAGCAGTCTCCAGACGTGTCAAAGATTACAGAGTGTAAAAGATGTAAGAAAGGCTCCACTTTAGAGTTTTCCTCTAAAGGTGGAGTTTGAAGGTGAGATTTTCAAAAGCACATAAGGGAATTAGTAACACAGGACCCATTTATTTTTAATGAGCTCCTAACTCCCCTAGATGGTTTTGAATAACCAACCCTGAAACATTCAACTTCACACTGATCTTTCCCACAATGATGCCACTTCAATAAGGAATACAAACTTGCATTTTACAAATCCTTGGCAGAATTCAACCCCTCCCCCGCATGTTTAAACATTAAAGGGATTAAAAACCAATCCTTCCTGACATTTTTACAGAGGGTCTTGTGTTTTTCAGACTCCTCTGCCTTTGAAGGCAGTGCTTATGGACTCGATATATCTCATAATGCTTTGTGCTCCTGGAAATAATATCAGATCTCATGGGAGATCAATGTTAAAAGATGCTGAAAGATAACATTATATTTTGCATGGTGGCAACTGACAGAATAATGCATCTTCACAGTCAACATCCATTCTCTGAAGCTTCCTGCCTGGCTTTGCTGCCCTGCCTGACGCTGCTCCCCACCCTCTGTGCATCCTCTCTCTCTGCTTCCAGAGCCCTGCTACCACATCTTTCTCTCTGGTTCTGTAGCTATGCCCTTACCAATCCCTCACCCTTGCTGAATCCATCTCACCTTCCCCCTCGTCCCAAACAGCCTTCCAATTACCTGTGAAGGTTTGACAGCCAGAGTTTCAGTCCAACAAGCCTGGAAAGTTTGAGTGAGATTCTGAGGAACTGAGTATGTGCTGTGTTGTGGGTGGTTGTGTGTTGGAGGTGAAAGGTTGTTCATGGAAGTAGGAGTCTGTGAATGCATTTGAGCATACTATACTTCTGGGAGAAAGATCTGTGAATGGAATCTGGTTGGGATTCTGATGCTGTTTTACCTGGTGATCACCTTGGTTTTTGTTGGCTTTCCTCCCAGCACAACCACTTGTGCAGCCTTATCAGCAATTTAACAACCTTTCTTGTATGGGTAGGTATTGGTCCCACATCAAAGGCACAGAAATGCAGCTGTATTCTAGGTCAGAGAGTGACTAAGTATTTTAAGATCATATAGAGTTTTATCCTGCAAACTCTACTTGGGAGTAGATGACTGCTTCCATGAATAAAGGTTTTCAGAATGATGCCCTTAGATGGTAAGGTACTATTTATACTTCAGGGACATGTACCATGTGTTCATATTATTTACATTTATATTATGGTAGCCACAGAGGAGTCAGCCAGATCAGGTCTCATTGTGCTAGGCACTGCACAGACACTAAGAAGTAGACATTCCCTGACCCAAAGAGTTTACAATCTAAACAGATAACACAGAACAGGTGGGTGAGTGAAACAAGTGGATGGCGGGATGGGCTAACAAAAATAATATGCTAGCTGTATGAGCGGTCCTTGGCCAATGAGTAGCAATAATCCCAATTTGCCACCTGCCTCGCTCTTATTCTCATTCTCATGTTGTGTCTTGCTCAGTGCTCGTCATATCTTATGTACCTAAAAATAATGCTTATATTAGCTATCATCTTCTTGGTAATTGCTACAGGTAGATCTTGCATTATAATCCTAACCCAGAAATGCCAAACAGCCTCAACTAGTAGTGGATCTGTTGTTTTTTTGACACCAGGTGTTTAGTCCAAAACCACCAATGAAATTAGAATGATCTGTGTTTCTATATTCTCTGTGGTTAAAAGAAAGTAACTGCTGAAGTTTCAGTCAATGCATAGAAGATAAATGTATGTATTTTATGTTTAGGCTATATTTTCCCCAGGGGTAATGTTGGTTGTATTTAATGAAGAGAAGATGGAGTGAGAATCCCATGGTTTAAAACTATCATTTTTTATTATTATTATTACTGTTTCGTTATTACTAAGCCAAGCTTTTGACTGACCTCCTCTAGCACCAGCGTCAAACATATGTCACCATCTCAACCTCCAACTATTAATTACTTTGCCTCTGCCTTTTTCCACTTGAAATGTTTTAATGCTCATTTTTAATTGGATAGAAGACATTCCTGAGCCCTGGCACTTCAGCTTGAAAAATCAGCATGATAAATCTTCAGTGAAGAATTCCTGCCAGTATTACTGCTTGTGCTAGGTCAGACCTTTTCCTTTCTGTGCCTTTCCTTTTAATGAGGGAGACGCGGTAGGTGAGGTAATATCTTTTATTGGACGAAGGGTACAAATTTTGGAGCTTCATAGAGCTCTTCTTCAGGTTTGGGGAAGGTACCCAGAGTGTCCCAACTTGTATTTAGCTTAGGCATGCTGTTAGCTCTTCTTCAGGTCTGGGGAAGGTCCTGTGAAACTCCAGAGCTTGTACCTTTCACCAACAGAAGTTGGTCCAATAAAAAAATATTACCTCATCCACTTTGTCTTTTTCTCATCCTGGAACCAACTGGGCTACAACATTTCCATCTCATCTCACTCTGAGGCTTGTGCTGACCATGAAAGAACATGACAGTAACCATGGCATCAAATTTGCCCTTACAGTGTTCTGAGAAACTTTGTGAGCATACTGTTTGTCAGAGCCAGAACAAATGAAGTACCTGCACTGCAATTAGCTTAACTGAGCAACTACCCTTTGAGTGCTGATTGACTTGTCTTCTCATTGCTTTTACTCAGCAAGCCATTACATGCTTCAGTGGCTTTCATGTAGAGCTCTTAGATGCTAAGGGCCAGATCCTGCAAGCGTGTAGTGAGGAATCCTTATGCTTATGGGGAAAGGCTTTCTTACCCAAGGATCAGGCCCCAGATTATAGAGCAGCAACTCCTTATCAAGTGGCTACATGGGGGTGTTAGAATATAAGCAGGTAAGGCTGTTTGTAAGAATTGTGAAACTCAGAGCGTAGGTTGCAGGAAAATCCACGAAGGCCCCTAGTGCCGTTCTGTCTGAATTTTTCTGACCCCAGAAAAGGTCTGGTGTCAAATGCCATGACTCCCCAGGAGGTCCCCAGTATCGCTTCTCCCCTCCCCTAGTATCACTCACTGGCAATTTGTTAGTCTCTAAGGTGCCACAAGTACTCCTGTTCTTTTTGCGGATACAGACTAACATGGCTACTACTCTGAAACCTGTCACTGGCAATGTGACACCTGTGGAAATCCCAAGGTGGGAGAGACTACAAAAGAGTAATACAGCAGGGATCTGTATTTCCACGGGGAAGTCAAAAGTCCAAGGCATGGCTTGGTTCATTCCACACCTCCTCCTTATTTCCTCTCCTCATCCCCAGACCCCTGCCGGGAAGGATGGCATCTGCACGTGTATAGCCCTCTCCCATGTTGAGATTAGGGGGGCACCATGAGGTCACGACACTGGTACTTTGAAGCCTCCCCTGGTCTCATTAACTGAATTAAGTACTGGGTGAAAGTTTCTCCCTGGTGTAAGGCCATTGAAGTCAGAGTTTTCCAGTGACGTTTTCTTCGTTCTGGAATATAATTGACCATGAGTCATGAAGTTCATTCTGTTTAAAGAGAAAGCCCTGAAAAGCTCCATTGGAGCCATTTAAAAGAAAGAATGGACCAAGCCCCTCATCAGTAAACTAAAGCTAAATAAATGCCTGTGCAGTGGAAATCCTCTGAGAGCTACAGTAATATCAACAGCATTCGCGTGATTCATCGTGTTACAAAAGCAACAACAAAGCAACACTAATGAAATGAGGCTAAGAGAGCAACTGGGCTTCTCTTTTAAACCTATCACATGAAAACGGGGAGGACGAAATAGCCGGGGGTCCTCTGTGAAAGTTCTGAAACGTTTGCACTGCAGTTTAACAAGGAACTCCGCCTGCATCATGATCAGATCTTACAGGGGGAGAGATTTACGGGATTTAGGAGCACAAGTACCAATGACAGTTACTTTTTAAACCCCTAAAATATACATCACACGCACACACATTTCCCCTCCATCCCCCCACACCCATAAATGCAATGTCCGGTGCCTGGCTAGTATACGGAGGACACGAGTATCACCAGGAGCTGCCAGCCTCCTACCTTCAGGAAATCTCCCCCTTGGCAGTCAATATGGACGAAGTCGTAGTCTATTGTGATGAGCTCCTCGGGGTCTCCTATGAAAAAAGCGGCACAGTGCAGCTGGGGCTGCTCGGCGGTGAAGGTGAACTGCCCCTCCACGCTCAGCATGTCGATGCATCCTGGAGAGACAGACTGCGTCTGAGCACCGCTCCCCGCAGGGAGACCCGCGCCCAGGTCCCTCTGACCGTGCTGCAGAGAGACACCCCCGGACGCCCCCCCCCCGGGGAGAACTGAGCTGGGGGGAGTCGGAGGCTGCTCGGGCTTAGACCTCCGTGCCAGGGGTCCAGGCTGCCCATCCCATCTCCCACTCCCTTCAGCCAGGAGCGTCCTGAGCCCAGCTCACACGTGTCTGAGTTCTCACCCCGGATCCCCCACGCCCTGGCCAAGAAACGCACCCCCCCCCCCCCCCCCCCCCCCCCCCGGCTCCCCAGTCCAGAGCCCCCGCTCTGAGCTCTCACCGCGGCTCCCCCTTAGCCGAGAATCAAGAAACTCACTGAGCGCCCGATGGTAGAGCTGCCTGCCTGACAATTCCCGCTTCAGGTCTGCGCTGAGGAGCAGAAAGGGCTCGTCCTCGCCAGCACCCCTCGCCTGGGGAAAGAAACACTTGGGCAAGAAGAGCCTGGGCCAAGGTGAAATGGGCTGATGGCAGCAGCCCCCCCCCCTCGGCCTGTACCCCCCTGAAACAGGTGTCAGAGAATGGCCTCCCGCCCTCCTCCTGAGATGGGCCAGCACAGGAAGTCTGAAACTTCCTGCCTGTCGCGGTCTAAGGCAACCAGGTCCAGAGGGGACCAGAGCTGGAGAGCGAGAGCGAGCAATCCAGATGCACGGTGAGTCTCTCAATCCCTTAGCCAAAATGCCAGCAGGCTGCGGAAAGGCGCACTAGCTGGGGAAATGGGGGAGAGGAACTGCTGCCCTTAATGTTACCTCTAGTCTGCTCCTAAGGATTTGGAAGGGAGTGGGAGGGGTAGAGGAGACAGACAGAATGCCCTAAACCTGGAACTGCAAGTTGGAAGAAGGCAGGAGAAGGTGTGATGAGATGTGATAGGTGTCAGTTGCATTGCTCACCTCTAGGTATCTGGTTTCCCCCTTGAGGGCTGCCAAGAAGATCAGGATGCAGTGGCACTGAAGTCTGAAAGCAGAAGCCATGCTGGCACTTCCTCTCTGGTCCCTGCTTCTCTCTCACTGTCTAAGTTTTCTTTCTTGTCTGTGCTGATAGGCAGCAGCCTGTGGGGTTCCTTTGACAGACCCTTTTTATAGAGCTGTTGGGAGGGGAGGCACTTGGTCCCTGTACTGCTAGGAATTCAGTTACCATGGGTTACCCTATCTCAGTGACAAAGTACGTGGGTATGACGAGGGTCCAAATCACAGCCACACATTTCCAAGCCAGTCTAACTCTTCTCATTGGCAGCTGTCTTTTCTACTTACCTGTCTGGCATAGTTAAACAGCTACAGGGAGAAGCGCAGTGTCCCTCTGCACCTACTAAACGCGGGACTGATAGTTAGAATTAGCCCAACTATCCAAAGGCAAAGCAGGAAACAAAGAGCCTCCCCACATCCCTCTCCCCTTACATGGAATTTCGCAGCACATCCCGGAAAGGCAGCAGCAGCATCCCACACTGAACCAGAACCTGTTCCTACGCTATGTTAACTGGACCCTCTGAATGCATGGGTGTCTGCAATGCTATCGGTGCCTACAAGGGCTCTTACCAATTGTTTGCTAGACTATGAGATGCTTTGCATAGTGTTATATGAACATTAATTAATTATCCCTCACAATGCCCTTGTGGAGGAGGTAGGTAAATGGGGTCTCCTCTCCTAGAGATGTAAAAGCAGGTGCATACTGTGTAGAACAAGGTCTCCCCCATCCGCAGCCAGAGTAGCAGGGTGGAAGGTCCAGCCAGGGACCTCTGCTTTCCCTCCCCTGCCAGTCTTGGTTGGGGGCAGCTCCTATGGGCAACAGGTTCCATATGACTTCCCCCAGTCACAAGGGCTCCAGGGAGGTAAAAGCAGGGCAGGGGGGAGGGCAGAGCAAGTCCCAGGAAGCAGCAGGTTTCCCCCAGCAGCTCACTCATTAAGAGTTGTCCATTTGAAGGGATTTATGTCATCAGAGACAATAGTTTGGAATCTTTTACTAATCATTGGAATTCTGTCAAATGAATTTCTTTATTAAGATTAAGATTAAAATTCCTATTTTAGAGTTTACTTTCATGTAACTTATTTCCTCTTATCCTCTGTATTTAAACCTATGGTTTTGTGTTGCATCAAAAATCTTCATAAAGAAATATAAACCGAGAAATTGCCTCCCCATATTTTGGCCTCTCCAAAAATGTCTTGTTTCTAAGTGTGTAAAACATCTCATGCATTCAATTCACATACGACTTTTAAACATTGACATTGTTTTGTTTCAAAGTTATTAAAACTGGTCTTGTGAATGGAGTAGTTAATTGGTGGCTGACCCAGCAATGAAATAGTAAATTTGTCTTCAATTAATCTGCTCTGAAATGTTTAAATATTGTGGCTCTATGCTGAGATTTGCAAAGGCACCTAAGAGAGTAAAACACCAAATCCCTATGAAAATCACAGCTCTAAGCCCCTGGTCATGCTATCATAGAGAAGGAGGATAGAGAAGGACTTGAGTAGTTGCAAGAGTCCCTGGGAACATTACATCAGAATCAGGAGAGACTGGAGCTGGAGAGGTACCCCACCGATGGACCTGCTCTTACTCCTGTAGGAGAATCTAGCATCATTCAGCTTGTATTGTCATATGTTCACTTTTTAAACTGAATAAAACAAATGTAAAACATATACAGGCCAAGATCACAGTGTAAGAGACAACTAATTTATGAGGGCAAATCTAGAACAAATCAAAGCTATAGCTAAAATGTCACCATCTAAGAGTGGAGATTCAGTTCTGATTCAGCCCCAGCAGCAGCCTAGAACCAAGACCTGTTCCTCCTGTGCTGAATCCCTCTGGAAACACAGCACAGAATCTAGTCCATGGTTTTGATTGGTGCTAATCCAGTTAAAATGAGGGACGCCTCTATGTTGCCTGATGGCTTTCAGGCCCTGAGCCCTGGAATACCTGAAGAGACAGAGAATGTTTGGTGAGCCTATGAGAGTTTCACGCATTATTTCCAGGTTTTTGATCATTTCAAACTTGTGACAAGCCACTGATAGAATTAATAAGCAGTAACAACATAACCAGGTGGCCTTTAAATCTCAAAAATTGCTCTCCCATTTGAGATTTAAACCTTTTGTAGAATATGCACCAGAGATGTCCCCAGTGGTGACTGATACCTTATTGAGGAGCCCAGTTGATCATGCAGATTCACTAGAGACTCGGGATCACATGGAAGAACAACAAGGTGCAATTGTGAGTGAAATGGCTTCCTTTGAGATTTACAGCACTTTTCGTCTGGCCACAAGCAGCTTTACTTGTGGTGGTTCACTGCTTCCAGTCCTGGCTAGAAACTGGTGTTGGCAAGGAACATAGCCGAATCTTTTGGAACCTCAAACAAAGGTTTGGATCAAGCTCAGTCCTAAATGTGAGCAAGAGGTTCATTGGTGTTATTGTAACTAAACCAGTTGCCCACTATGAATACAATTATTTTATTTGTACTTCAAAACAGTTATGAAGAGATCCAGTTAGATGGAAACACACTGGGGCAATTATTTCAACACCGAGTAAATCATTGTCCCCCTGCAATATTAAAAAAAAAACTACTCTAGATATTCATTTAAGGGGATCTTGAGCTTTAAAATCAAAATCCAAAGACTATGGTCTAAATTCTCTTCTTATTTACATCACTTCAAATCCCTAAAAGTTGCACAGCTGTGAGGCCAGAATATGATCATATAAGTCACACAAATCTTGTATTTATATTATCTTTTACTCAGAACCCTTTCTATGGCTGATAGATCAGAAGACCTGGTACGGCATTCAGTTACTATGGAAAAATATAAGATTTACACTATTGTAAAATCAGATTTCAGTATGAACAGTAGGAATAATTTGTATGTGTCCTTGTTAGACTTGGACTCACCTATAAGTCTCCTACCATAACAAGTTGAGAACTATAAGCAACTTCATGCTCCAGAATGCAATAATATTTCATTGTTACTTCATGCCAATACACTTTCATTAATGAACTGCCTTGTGCAACATATAGAATGAATCCCTATCTTGCTAATACTGTAGTTTTAATACTTCCTACCCAGAGCAGTGTCTGTATTTCTCACTGCAATATTCTTGTTCAAGACTCTTTATAAAATCCTAACTTTTTATTGCAGAGCTACCTGTTCAGGAAGTGTGATTTTGACAATCAAACACAAACAGAAAGAAATTAGAGGTTTTCACAGTATCCAAAATTATTTTAAAATATTTTGTAAAGAAAAGCACCCGAAATGCCATGCATACCCTCTGGCAAACCAATGGGGTATTATTTCTTTCTTTCATTATTTGACTCATGATAACACTTATGAGGCTATGTCTTTTGTTAACATCCAATTATACAACCTAATAAAACACATTTCCAGTCTGACCCTACTTCAGGCTAAATAATTTTTTCTCATGTTATTTGGGCCTATCCTACACCCTAGCAAGCTACACAGCTGTAATTCACTACCCATGTAGCTCCACCAGTAGCATAAATGATGGAAGTTGTTATGCAGATAGTGTACACTCAGATTCTGTCTACATGATAGTTTCCACCAGTGAAGCTGCACCACTGGTGAATTACAGCTAAGAAGTTTGGTAGCACAGATTCAGCCTCAGTCATGTCAAATAAGAATCTAGGGTTATTAGAGCTTGGTTGTGTTTTTTTTTTCTTTTCTTGAGATTAAACTGAGAGCTTGGGAGAATCCTCTTGGCATGTACTATAAATTCTCAGTAGCTTGCTCAGAGCTTGTAGGCATCTGTGATAGTGTGAAAGCCTAAGACTGACTCACCACTCTGGGCACTTGGTAAGTGTCCCCACATGGGCTAAATTTGGGAGATAATTGGCCAAGGATTGAATGATTAACCAATTTGGCTCAGCTCCTCAGCTGAGGAGAACTAAAAGAGACATAGGAAGAGGAAGAGAGGTAAACTGGAAGGAAAGGCTAGAGAAGCCCAGGATTTCAGGGAGATGAACTCTCTCCACCTGTGTCTAGGGAGCATGTTATGTCAGACTGTAAATAAAGCACTGGGTGTTGAACTTGCCATGAGTTCTGTGTGAGGACTGTTTACAGTAAGGAATCCAGAGTGAGGGGAATCTGCCCTGTGACAGCATCTCATAAACTTTTACCTCAGATAGGGGTTCTCGATGATAGTAAATAAGAGGTGGGAAAATACAGTTGAATAGTATAACTGCTGAAATGAAATTCTTTTGCCATACCCTTTTAGAATACAAGAGCTGCTTTGTGTTAGTATAATACCCTGGGTACGTGTGTATAATGGAGTCTCCCTCAAGATTAGAGCCCCAGTGAGGTGAGGAGCCTGCTACTCACAGCTAAAGGAGTTACTCAAGTTGTAGGCGCTTGCCTTGAAAGTTCTAGGTTTGCTCCTCAGTGACAGCCAGGGGGTCTATGTGTGTAATGGTCACATGTGATTACATGGCAAGACTGTCAAAATACTCTTCATGCTGGGAGTTGTTTGCAAACTGATATCTAAAACAGTGAAAGAGGAACCTGAGCTGGGGACATGATATAGGAGGCTGTCCCCAGTAGCATGGAGAGCAGGCTCTCTCTAATTCACTGGAACAAGAATTTTCCATAATCAGCAGGAGCCTAATTTGGAATTCCAGAAGCAGTACCAGACCTCGGCTTCTAGAAATACTGCCACATCATGCTCTCATTCCAGTGGAGGTTCAGGGTTTGATTCAGCCCTGGTTCCACAAGCATAGCTCATGGCTGTGGGGCCCCAGGATCAGAAAGTTTGCTTTGCAAGGGCAGTAATAGAGGCTGTTGTATTAATTTAGATGGAATATATGGGCCCAAAGCGTCAAAGGTGTTAACATGACTCTTTCACTGTCCAACATTAAATAGTGATAAACAAGACTCAGGGTTTGGTATCAAGAGACCTCAGCCTGCTTAAGTACCATGGCAAACACACCATTAAAAATATTTTTAACCCCTTATTAAGGATACAGAAAAGAATGAAAACAGGT